TGACAGTACACACAGAGTATGCCGACCTGATAAGAGCTCCTGAGCCTTCCTATCCAGAGGTTTTACTGGCGGTCAGTTGCGTAGCCATGGCTGACTACTCGTGTGACTGGCTTTAGTCTTTTTCTAATTTTTATTTTATTTTTAATTTTTTGCGACAGAGTCTTGCTGTGCTGTCCAGGCTGGAGTGCAGTGGTGTGATCTCACCTCCCAGGTTCAAGTGATTCTCCTGCCTCAGCCTTCCGAGTAGCTAGGATTACAGGCACTTGCAACCACAACTGGCTAATTTTTGTATTTTTAGTGGAGACAGGGTTTCACCATGTTGGCCAGGCTGGTCTTGAACTCCTGACCTCAAGTGATCTGCCCACTTCTGCCTCCCAAAATGCTGGGATTACAGGCATGAGCCACTGCACCCACCACAAAGACACTCTTAACAGGCAAAACATTCCAAGGGCTTAGAATTTATTTCCCAGGTGCTTTGACCCAGGAGGGGCAAAGGGTCAATTCTTTGGGCCCAGGTTAATTATTTACTGCACATGTGCCCATTTTGCAGAAGAAGAAATGGGGTTTTGGAGCGATTAAATGACTTGCCCCAGGTCACATAGGTTGATCCAGGGTCTAAGCCCTGATCATCCAACTCCAGGGCCCAGTGCCTTGTGTTCTTCCTGGTGGCTTAAATGTCTCCATTGAGAGACAAATTAGCCCAGGAGATAATATTATTTCATATTCCCATTTCTGCAGTTGTAAAATAATTCATGTCTAGAGTGTGTGCATGTGTGTGTGTATTTCAGAGACAGGGTCTTGCTATGTTGCCCAGGCTGGAGTGCAGTGGCATTGACGGGCATGATCACTGTACAGTAGAACCTCAAATTGCTGGGTAAAGGCCATCCTGCTGCCTCATCCTCCAGAGCAGTTTAGTCTACAGACGTGCACCACTGCGCCCAGCTTGGAGTATATATTTAACTTAAGCTCTCTATCAACTCTGGGCAGGGCTCTATTGGGGAAAATAGGTTACATCCAACAAGATTCCACTTCCTGTGGATGAACAATCTCACTTAATACTGTTGTTCTTGTGTGATTACAGAAAACTCCAGTTTTCTGTACTGGAGTACTTGGGATGAAAACGTGCTTAACCCGCATTTAGCAGAGGCCTCTGTGGGTGCCACGCACAGGGCAAGGTATTGGGGGTGCCATGGTGAACAAGTTAGACACAACTTACGCCTTTTCCTGGAGCTTGTAGTTTGTGTCAAGGGGGAGAAGGGAAAACGACAAATCTCTGGGTCACGGCTTCTCTTATTCTCCAGCTTCAGGGCAGGCCAGGCTCCGGCCATAGCCCTTTGCTGGACAGATACTGAGCAGTTGCTGGCCAATAGGCACTGGTCCATGGGAGGACCCTGGGGATAGAGTGGTCAACAAGGCAGACACAGCCCCTCCCCTTCCTGAGCTTCTCTTTGCCTCAGTGGGAGACAACCTGATCTCCACCCATCCTCACTCGAGTAGGAAAAGTATACAGAAATCTCATGAACAACTAGATAACATAATTTCCAACAGCGATTCAAGTCAGGAAGGAAAGAGACACAGGATCAGGGTAGAGAATGGGTGGGGGTGGTCAGGGAGGACCTCCCAGAGGAGGTGACATTTAATTTTAGACCTGCAGATGAAGAAGAGCCAGCCACATGAAGAGTAGGGAATGGTGTTTCAGGCAGAGGGAACAGTATGTGCAGAGGCCATGAGGTAGAGAAAAGACCAGCTTGGCTCAGGGCCACATGAATTGTGGAAGTGTTTGGATTTTATTCCAAGGGTAGTGGGTAGTCATTGAAGGTTCTGAGAAGAGGCTGACATGATCTTATTTCCATTTTAAGATCCCTCGTGGCTGCTGTGTTGAGAATGGACCAGGGTGGGATGGGCAGAGGCCGGGGTCAGGGGTGACCATGACACTGCACACTGCCTCTCCCCTCTGGTCTGGGCACAGGCTGTGCTCTCTGCCTGGAGCGGTCAGCAGAGCTGCAGAATTCCATGGCTGAGCCAGTTTGCCCCTACTCTCTCTATATATATTTTTTGATATGGAGTCTTGCTCTGTCACCTAAGCTGGAGTAGAGTGGCGCCATCTCAGCTCACTGCAGCCTCTGCCTCCTGGGTTCCAGCAATTCTCTGGCCTCAGCCTCCTGAGTAGCTGGGATTACAGGCACATGCCACCATGCCCGGCTAAGTTTTGTACTTTTAGTAGAGACAGGGTTTTGCCATGTCGGCTAGGCTGGTCTCGAACTCCTGACCTCAGGTGATCCGCCACCTTGGCCTCTCAAAGTGCTGGGATTACAGCCATGAGCCACCGCGCCGGCCACCCTTACTCTACTTTTATGAGTCAAGTGACTTGTAAACAAGTTTCTACCTGGGGCCTATTTGTTTTATTTATTTATTTATTAATTTATTTATTGAGTCTCACTCTGTCACCTAGGCTGGAGTGCAGTGGTGCGATCTTGGCTCACTGCAACCTCCACCTCCCAGGTTCAAGCGATTCCCCTGCCTCAGCCTCCCAAGCAGCTGGGATTACAGGTGCCCACCACCACACCTGGCTAATTTTTGTATTTTTAGTAGAGATTGGGTTTTACCATGTTGGCCAGGCTTGTCTTGGACTCCTGACCTCAGGTGATCCACCGGCCTCGGCCTTCCAAAGTGCTGGGATTACAGGCATGAGTAATACGCCTGTATGTGAGTCATATCTGCACGGCCCGTATTTTTTTTAAAGTGCACGTGAGTATCCCATACTCATGTCAAGCGGATTCAGGGGAGACCTCCCAGTTTCTCCACCAGCTCTCCTAGACAGTGGGAGGCCGTGTCCACAATGAAGCCCTGAGGCCTGTAGGAGTCAGATATACATCTCATAACCGCATAGGAACACAACATTGGGTTCGTTATTGATTCAGCGCCATGTGTATTCTAACATTAACTCAATTTCTCTAATACTCTGTCTGGCTCTGTGATGGCCTGGAAAACGATGGCGGCGAGTTTGCGCCACTGGTCCTGCTGCTCTGTACCTGGATAAGTCCTTTCATCTCTGGATGACAGTAATTATTATTATTATAAGAGCTGTCACCTTTAGGCATGTGCTCTGCAGTGATCACCCTGTAAAGACCTTTATATGCATTAACTCATTAAAGTCTCACATCTACCCTGTGAAGTCCCATCACTGCCATCATCACCATCATCGTTACCATTACCATCACCATCATCACCAGCACCACCACCACATCACCACCACCATCACCACCACCATAATCACCATCACTATTATTGCCATCATCACTGTCACTAGCACCAACACCACCATCATCACTACCACCATCATTACCACCACCATCAACACCATAATCACCATCATCACATCACTATTACCACCATCATCACCACGATGATTACCACCATCACCAGCACCATCATCACTATGACCATCACTACCATGATTATCACCATCACCATCATTATTACCACCATCACCACCATCATTACTATCATCACCACCACCATCACCAGCACCATCATCACTATGACCATCACTACCATGATTATCACCATCACCATCATCACCACCATCATCACCATCATCACCACCATCACCACCATCACCACCACCATCACCACCATCACCAGCACCATCATCACTATGACCATCACTACCATGATTATCACCATCACCATCATGATCACCACCATCACCACCATCACTATGATCATCACCATTAATACCATCATCACCACCACCGTCATCACCACCACAATCACCATCAATATCATCCCACTACTACCGTCACCATTATTACTATCATCACCATCATTATCATACAATCAATTCACAGAAATAAACTGAAACTAAGCAACAGGTGTACACACACACACACACACACACACACACACACACACAAAACAGCGGTGGGATTCAAACCCAGATGCCTACTGACACCAGTGCCTATGATCTTTTTTTTTTTTTTTTTGAGACAGGGTCTCACTCTGTCACCCAGGCTGAACTCACTGCAGCCTCTGCCTCTTGGGCTCACGGTCCTCCCACCTCAGCCTCCTGAGTAGCTGAGGCGTGCACTACTGTGCACCACAGTGCTCCGCTAATTTAAATGAAATTTTTTTTCTTGCTGTTGCCCAGGCTGGTCTCAAACTTCTGAGCTTAATCGATCTGCTCACCTCAGCCTCCCAAAGTGCTGGGATTACAGGTGTGAGCCACCATGCTGGCGAGTACTCACACATGTACCATGAAGTCACATTGCTCCCTGTCTCCCCCTATAAAACGAAGTTTAGATTTAATGACCTCCAAGACTTTGCTACTCAAAGTGTTGTCCCTGGACCAGCAGCCATCACTTGGGAATTTGATAGAACTGCTGAATCTCAGACCCCCGCCTTAGACCTACGAATCTGTATTTTAACAAATGCCCAAGTTGTATTTTAACAAGTGCCCAAGTTACAGGTGTGAGCCCAAGTTGTATTTTAACAAGTGCCCAAGCTGTATTTTAACAAGTGCCCAAGTTACAGGTGTGAGCCACTGTGCCCGGCCTGCAGGCTGGAATTTGAGGACCTCCCCAACAGGTTCTTCCTCCTTGGACATTCTGTGAACTGTGACCTCTGTATGGAGTAAAGGGTCACTCTGTTAGGACAGTAAGACCCCTACATGCCCTTTCCTGACTATTCCATTGAAGCCAGGCTGAGGGGAGCTCCTTCCTTCCCTCCCTCCCTCCCTCCCTCCCTTCCTTCCTTCCTTCCTTCCTTCCTTCCTTCCTTCCTTCCTTCCTTCCTCCCTCCCTCCCCCCTCCCCCAGTCCCTCCCTCCCTCCCCCTCCCCCTCCCTCCCTACCCCCTCTCTTCCCCATTCCCTCCCTCCCTCCCCCTTCCCCCTCCCTCCCTACCCCCTCTCTTCCCCAATCCCTCCCTCCCTCCCCTAGTCCCTCCCCCCTCCCCCTCCCTCCCTCTCTCCCTCCCTTCCTTCCTTCCTTCTCAGAAGCATCTTCTTGTTGGACAGACACAGTCGAGTGTTTCTCAGACTACATGACCCTGTGGATCCCGAGGAGCCACGTGGAAGGGCTGAGGCTGTGGCTGGCTAGGACCTTGCACTTGCCAGGTAAGAGGCAGTCTGTGGCTGGGCGGGGTCTTTGCTGGGGCTTTTGTGTTGCCTTCCCCTGCCTGCAGTGCTTCTCCCCCATGGCTCTTGCAGGTTCCTGGGCATCATTCAAATCTCTGCTCAAAGGCCACCTCCCCCTGCAGCCCTTCCAGGCTCTCTAAAGTCATCCACGCCCACCCCAGTCACAATCCTGGCACTCCTCACTAGTAAGATGATCTCCTGCCATTGTTCCCAAGCTTGTGATCTGCACCCCTCTTCCCAACAGAAGGCTGCGCTGTGAGGGCATGGCCCACGTGCTTTTTGTTTACAGCTGTGTCTTCAGAACCAAGAACACTGCCTCGTGCTTAGAAGAGTCCCAATAAGTATTTGTTGAATGAACAAGTGGCCCAACGCCCTGGAAGAAGCGCCCATCTGGTGCCGATAGCTCCAAAATCGAAATCACTCTGCAAAAGTGGAAGTGAGACTAAAGGGGTGATTCTCACACAAAATGGGAGGCCATCACATGCTTGGTGGGGGAAGAGCGCACCTAAAATAGCAAAAAACAAGGGCATAGTGTCACTCCCAGAAACCTTTCTGCCATGAGCTTTCCAACAGAAGAAGTAGGAAAGTGCTGGATGGCATCAGGGTACCTGGAACCTTCTGGAAGGAACATGAGTAGAGAGAGGAGCAAACAGCTTGCTTCCCTCCAAGCTCTCCATCTCAGTGGCTGCAAAGCCAGCCCCCAGGTTCCTCCTCTCTTTTGCACAGAATCATAGATATCGAGGAGGGAGGCTTTCCAGTCTCTCCCGAAGTCTAGGAAAACCTCCCAGGGACCCTGCTCGTTCTGGAAATTCCTAAAGCACCTTCTGGGACCGGTAGGGCCTAAATCTGCCCTGGGAGGGCCAACCACCCATTGGCCAGCCAGCCCAGGAGGCCTTGGGAGAGACATTTGTGTATTAAAAGGCCACTTTTCCAGGAGAAAAGCTGTGGATACATTAAGCTGTCGCCTGTTCTTTGGAGAGCCATTATTAATGGAAAACAATAGATTAATAGTTTTAAAACGCTTGTTCAATAAGTAATTTTTATGGCTCTGGATAGAGCCCATTAAACATTTCTGTGTGTTATTATAAAGAAGTTTTAAGCGTAAAATCATAAAGCCAATAATCAGAGAATTAGTCACAGCGGCCAGCCACAGGCCATTAGTTTTAGGCGCTGTCAGAGCCACCTGTGGCTTTTGAGGGAGAGTTTTCATTTCACGCGGCAGCGCCAGGTGGGGATGGAGAAATGATGGTGCCTGCTGCCTTCCATAAACTTGAGGGGACAGCAAGCAGGTGTGAGCAGCAGGGTGCCAGGCAAATATTTACAAAGTGCAAACATGAATGCAAAACTAAAACGATCCAGGTCAATTTGCACATCCAGCTCAGACACTTTATTTCCCCAGCGAGCTACCTTTCACAGCCTTCCTCCGCCAGAGGCACGGCCTTGATCTCTTGCTAAAGATAGCGGTGGAAGCTGCGTGCTTTTGAAAGGAAAGCATGTCACCAGAGAATCCCACGTAGAAAGGCTGCCAGAGCTGTTTTCTGGAACAGCGTATTCATCTCCCATCAAATGCACAATCGAGTCAAGCGTTTGAAAGTGAAACTGTGAGATTTAAAAATGCTTTAAAAATAATCATGACAAAAGCAATACAAGATAATTACAGAAACTAGAGGCAATCCAAAGGAGATAATCAAAACTGCTTATAATCCCTCTACCCAGAGATAGCCCCCTTTATTTTTCACTCATTCAACAACTACTTATTTATTTATTTATTTATTTTTTGAGACGGAGTCTCACTTTGTTGCCCAGGCTGGAGTGCAGTGGTGCAATCTCAGCTCACTGCAACCTCTGTCCCCCGGGTTCAAGCAATTCTTCTGCTTCAGCCTCTGGAGTAGCTGGGACTACAGGTGGCCCCCACCGTGCCAAACGAATTTTTGTATTTTTATTTCTATTTGTTTATTTTTTTTGAGACAGAGTCTCACTTTGTTGCCCAGGCTGGAGTGCAGTGGCGTGACCTCGGCTCACTGCAACCTCTGCCACCCAAGTTCAAGTGATTCTCCTGCCTCAGCCTCCTGAGTAGCTGAGACTACAGGTGCCTGCCACCACTCCCAGCTAATTTTTTTGTGTTTTTGGTAGAGACAGGGTTTCACCATGTTGGCCAGACTGGTCTTGAACTCCTGGCCTCAAGTGATCCACTCACCTCAGCCTCCCAAAGTGCAGCAATTACAGGTGTGAGCCACCGTGCCCAGCCGCTTTCAACAACTATTTATTGAGAACCTTCTGTGTGCCAGAAATAACTTGAGGCACTAAAGATGCAGCAATGAACAAAACAGACAAATACCCGTAGCCACATGGAGCTGACTTTTTTTTTTTTGAGATGGAGTCTCGCTCTGTTGCCCAGGCTGGAGTGCAGTGCTGCAATCTCAGCTCACTGCAAGCTCTGCCTCCCGGGTTCACACCATTCTCCTGCCTCAGCCTCCCGAGTAGCTGGGACTACAGGTGCCCGCCACCACGCCCGGCTAATTTTTTGTATTTTTAGTAGAGATGGGGTTTCACCATGTTAGCCAGGATGGTCTCGATCTCCTGACCTCATGATCCGCCCGCCTCGGCCTCCCAAAGTGCTGGGATTACAGGCGTGAGCCAGCCGGAGCTGACATTTGACTAGACGGCAATAAACAATCAATATAACAAATAAGCCAGTAGATAGTCGGTTAGAAGACAATGAGTGTGCAGAAAAGGGTGAAGGAGGGCAAGATGGGGAAGTGTTAAGTGGGTAGTTAGGGTGGGCTTCATGGAGAAGGCGACACTTGCACAAGGACTGAAAGGAGGTAGGGGAGTCAGCCATGCAGATATCTAGGAGAAGAGAGTTCCAGGCAGAGGGCACAGCCAGTACAAGGGCCCTGAGGCAGGAGTGGGCCTGGGATGATTGAGAAATAGCAGTGGGTCTGGTGTGGTTGGAGCAGAGGGAGGGAGGGGAAGAGAAGTGGGAAAAAGGGTCAGAGAGCTGAGGGCAAGTCACGTGAGGCTTGCAAGGGTTTTGTTTTTTTACACAATGGAGTTTTTTATTTTTTTATTTTTTATTTTTTTCTGGGACAGTGTCTCACTCCATCACCTAGGCTAGAGTGCAGTGGCACAATCTTGGCTCACTGCAGCCTCCGCCTTCCAGGTTCAAGTCATTCTCGTGCCTCAACCTCCCAAGTAGCTGGAATTACAGGCGTGCACCACCACACCTGGTTAATTTTTGTAGTTTTAGTAGAGATGGGGTTTCGCCATGTTGGCCAGGCTGGTCTCAAACTCCTGAGCTCAGGTGATCCTCCCACCTCAGCCTCCCAAAGTGCTGGGATTACAGGTGTGAGCCACCACACCTGGCTGGCAACGAAGAGGTCTGAGCAGAGAAGAGGCGCAATCTGCCTACGTTTTGAACGGGATCCTGCGGGCTGCTGCATGGAATATTCATGACAGGGGCAAAGGAGGAAGCTGGGGGACATGGGAGGAGGCAGCAGCAGTGACACAAGCTGAGGATTCGTGTGGGGAGACGGGGTCGGATTCTGGATACACCTTGATTGAAGAACCATCGGGCTTTCCTGTTGGTATATGCCTTTTCAGACTTTTAAAAATTACTGCTATTTTTTATCCCCTCCAGGTAAGAAGCTTCCAGGCAGAGCAGTTTCTACCTGCGAGTCTGATATTTCTGACCCTGCCAGAGAAGCCACCTCCACAGGCTCAACCCACGTTTCTGTCCCTTTCTCGTTCCAGGCACCTGGAGGGCCCCTAACCACCTGGATTCTTCTCTTGCTAAATGTGGCTACTTCCTGCATCCGGCTTCAGATGGTGACTTCTTTTTTCGAGTTCAATACTCGGCCTGCTTTGTGCAGAAAGAGGTGGGTTTGGGAAATTTTTTTTTTTTTTTTTTAAGGGAGATTTAAGGAGCTAAGCCTGAGCTCAGATGTCAAGTAAGGAGACACTGCACCATTATTCCTCTGTAGAAACTGAGCTGAGGGAGACCAGAAATCTCTGCCTTCATGGAGTTTATGGGCATAGATATTAAAAGGCCGCCCAACTCAGATGCTGCCTCGTCCAGGCAGTCCTCCTGAGACTCCCCCCTTCTCTGTGCAGTGGACCTGCTTCTATCATTGCCAACGCTGACTCACAATGTGCCCACTCACACACCATCTCCTGCTGGACCTGGAGTCTTTGGGGTGAGGCAGTCACACCCACAGGCTTGCCTCAGGGCCTGGCACACAGTAGGTACTCAGTAAGTGCTTAATGAAGTGAATAAATGGTGTTGAGGAGTTGCAAAGGCTGACTGACAGCCCTCACTTGCACAGGCCCATTATGGGCTCACGAGACCATGTGATTCTAAAATTTACAGAAGTAAGATATTTTTGTATTTTTTTTCCTTTCTGTTTTTTGAGACGGAGCCTCGCTCTGTTGCCCAGGCTGGAGTGCAGTGAGGCAGTCTCGGCTCACTGCAATTTCCACATCCCAGGTTCAAGCGATTCCCCTGCCTTAGCCTCCCAAGTAGCTGGGATTACTTGGTAAAGACGGGGTTTCACCCTGTTGGCCAGGCTGGTCTTGAGCTTCTGACCTCAAGTGATCCACCCACCTCGGCCCCCAGAGTAGCTGGGACTACAGGCATGAACCGCTATGCCCAGATAATTTTTGTACTTTTTGTAGAAGATGGGGTTTCACCATGTTGCCCAGGCTGGTCTGGAATTCCCAGGCTCAAGCCATCCTCCCACCTCGGTGTCCCAATGTGTTGAGATGATGGGAATGAGCCACCGTGCCAGCATTCTTGTTACTTAAATTTCACGCCAGGGGTCCTGCAAGGGGACGACCAGCCCCACAGATTGGCTCACAGTTTTTTTTTCTTGTCTTCTCCTCACCTCCACTTCCCCTTTCCGTTTCTTTGTGCTCCCTTCCTTGACCCAGCCCAGAGTTTTTCCCGAGTGGGTCGGTGGTCTGGAGTGGGGGAAGGAATTTTGGGAACTACCCTGCTCCTCCTCTTTCTCTTCCTCTCTGTGGTCACCCTTCTCTGACAGCCCCGTCAATACCTGCCCTTCTCAGGCCCCACCGCAAAGCTTAGACTTGGGTTCTTCTTGTGTGGCTGAATGAGGGCAGTCTGGGAGGGGTGGAGGGACCCACTGGTTTGACATCTTTGAAGTCTGCCTCGTGCTGGAATGAGCTAGACCAGCTCTCACGTCGAGTCTCAGCAATGGCCACATGCCTTTGGCTTAGTCAGTTACCTTCTCTAAGCCTCAACTGCCTCATCTGTAAAATGAGAATTTTTTGTCTCATAAGCCCAGCCTTGGCCAGGCTTGGCGGCTCACGCCTGTAATCCCAGCACTTTGGGAACCAAAGTGAGCAGATCACTTGAGGCCAGGAGTTCGAGACCAGCCTGGCCAACATGGTGAAACCCTGTCTCTACTAAAAATAGAAAAATTAGATGGGCCTGGTGGCATATGCCTGTAATTCCAGCTACTTGGGAGGCTGAGGCACGAGAATCGCTTGAACCCAGGAGGTGGAGGTTGCAGTGAGCAGAGATCACACCACTCCACTCCAGCCTGGGTGATTGAGTGAGACTCAAAAACAAAAAACAGCCCAGCCTTATGAGACATTGGTGGGCATCAAAGGAGATAAAGTGTGTTTGTCAACTGTCAAGAGACATTGGGATGCAAGTTCTTATTCTGTCTGACTAGGTTTGACCTTCCCAAAACCCACAAATGTTCCCTGGCCTGGAGGGCTTCCTTGGTAGGGGCTGAGCTTCCAGAGCCAGACCCAGGCTCCGAGTTGCTGTCGACCCTGGTTTCATTTCCCATCCCTCTTCCACAAGCCCACCTTCTAGCAGGTTCATGGTATCCTATTTGCTGTGAGCAGGGACTGACCTATAATTGCAGCCTACTAACTGTATTTTCCTCTCTCATTTGCACACATGAATTTTGCCCTACTTCCAGAAAGCAAATTACAGGCTGGAAATCAGAATATTTCAGAAAGGGGTGACAAGGTTGGAGCGGAGTGATCGATACATAATGAAGTGTCCAATGCTAAGGTCAAGACTGGGCCAGGAAAGCGTCCACTGTGGACCCATGTTCATCCAGGTAATGGGTTCAGAGGGTCTGGGAGGTGGCAGAGGGGCCTCCCAGGCTGGGCGTCTCTCTAAAGGCCAAGGCAGGTGGCCCTCGCCCCTGCACTGCAGAATGTGGCCCAGAGAGACAGGTGGTAGCTGCAGATGCAGTACGGCATCGTTCTTCTAGACATCCCTGGGTACTGGCTGGGTGCTAAGTCTCCTGGGTTTGGTTCTGAGCAAGGAGGGGTGAGATGGGAGGCGAGGGGTGAGATGGGAGGGGAGGGGTGAGATGGGAGAGGAGGGGGAGATTAAAGCTGTCTGACCTCGGGTTCTAGATTTCCCATCTTGGCTGGCTCAGGGGGTCACTTGGGTTATCACCAAAGCTGCAAAATTGCATCTTTGTGTCCTTTCTCTCTGGATTGAAAAAACTGGCTAGTTTGAATGTTTTTTTGTTTTTTGTTTTTTGTTTTTGTTTTTGTTTTTTGGACCTGGGTAATGTCAAAGAGTTATAGACCCCAGGTACGATCAGGTGCAATGTCTACATTTTAAGCATCAGGGAAGAAAGGTTGAGCCCCAGATCCAATTGTGAGCTCTTTTACGGCACGGCTATGTGCGCTCCTTGAATTCAAGTTTCTCTCCAGCTCTCATCAGTGGGGCACCTCTGTAAGCGAAACAAGATTTGGATGGGAGTGGGGAGGGCTAGAAACCCAAACATCTATAGGGACCAAACCCGCCACAGAAATGAGCATGCTGGACTGAGGAGGAGGCAGTAAAGAATTTTACTCATTCCTTCATTTAGTCAGCTGTTTTTTTTGTTGTTGTTGTTGGTTTTGTTTTTTGTTTTTTTTTGAGATGGAGTCTCGCTCTGTTGCCCAGGCTGAAGTGCAATGGTATGATCTTGGCTCACTGCAACCTCTGCCTCCCAGGTTCAATCGATTCTCCTGCCTCAGCCTCCCAAGTAGCTGGAATTACAGGTGTGTGCCACTACGCCTAGCAAATTTTGTATTTTTAGTAGAGACGGAGTTTCACCATGTTGGCCAGGCTGGTCTCAAACTCCTGACCTCAAATGATCCACCCGCCCCAGCCTCCCAAAGTGCTGGGATTACAGGTGTGAGCCACTGTGCCCAGCCTGTTTTTTTAAAGAGACAGGATCTTGCTGTGTCATGCAGGTTCACTGCAGCCTTAACCTCCTGAGCTTAAGGGATCCTCCCACTTCAGCCTCCCGAGTAGCTGGGACTATAGGCGTATAACACCATGCCCAGCTAATGTTTAAATTTTTTTTTTTTTTGGAGACGGAGTCTCGCTCTGTCGCCCAGGCTGGAGTGCAGTGGCACGATCTCAGCTCACTGCAAGCTCCGCCTCCCGGGTTCACGCCATTCTCCTGCCTCAGCCTCCCAAGTAGCTGGGACTACAGACGCCCACCACCTCGCCCGGCTAGTTTTTTGTATTTTTTAGTAGAGACGGGGTTTCACCGTGTTAGCCAGGATGGTCTCGATCTCCTGACCTCATGATCCGCCCGTCTCGGCCTCCCAAAGTGCTGGGATTACAGGCTTGAGCCACCGCGCCCGGCCTGTTTAAATTTTTTGTAGAGATGGAGACTCACTGTGTTGCCCAGGCTGGTCTCAAACTCCTGGCTTCAAGCGATCCTCTCACCTTGGCCTCTCAAAGCCGTGGGATTATAGGCGAGGGCCACTACGCCTGGCCCAGCAAACACTTATATATGGCTTATTCTGTGCTGGGCACCCTTCTACTCACTTTGCAAATATTAACTCATCTCACCTTCACAGCGATTCTGTGTAGTTGGTTCTATACTGATCCCCATTCTGCAGGTGAGAGAACTAAGCAGAGAGAGATTAGGAGACTTGCCAGCTGGTAGCAACAGAGCTGGGCTTTGAGCCAGGCCACATGGTAGGGGCTGGGGCATGCTGGAACAGGCACAACCTGCAGTCCTGGCCCCCTACAGAGGGAGCTAAGGCTGGACTCCACTCCAGCCCCATTTTGCCAGATTTTCCAACATTTCAAGATAAACTGGAAATCTATAATTGTATGTGAAATCCTCCAGTTTAAAAAAGTTCACTTTAATTTTTTTTTTTTTTTTGAGATGGAGTCTCGTTCTGTCACCCAGGCTGGAGTGCAGTGGCATGATCTCGGCTCACTGCAACTTTTGCCTCCTGGGTTCAAGTGATTCTCCTGCCTTAGCCTCACGAGTAGCTGGAATTACAGGCATGCATCACCATACTCGGCTAATTTTTTTTTTTCTTTGAGACGGAGTCTCGCTCTGTCACCCAGTCTGGAGTGCTGTGGCGCAATCTCGGCTCACTGCAAGCCCCGCCTCCTGGGTTCACGCCGTTCACGCCTCAACCTCCGAAGTAGCTGGGACTACAGGCACCCGCCACCACGCCTGTCTAATTTTTTGTATTTTTGGTAGAGATGGGGTTTCACTGTGTTAGCCAGGATGGTCTCGATTTCCTGACCTTGTGATCCGCCCGCCTTGGCCTCCCAAAGTGCTGGGATTACAGGCGTAAGCCACCGCACCCAGCCTAATTTTTTATATTTTTGGTAGAGACGGGGTTTCACCACGTTGGCCAGGCTGGTCTAGAACTCCTGACCTCAAGTGATCCACCCACCTCGGCCTCCCAAAGTGCTAGGATTACAGGTGTGAGCAACTGCGCCCGGCCAAGTCAGTTTAACTTTGTAGGCACTGCACAGCTCAAATAAAGTGCTGGATTTGGCTTGAGGGATTTGGTTGGGCATCTTCTGCCTGTGAGGAGGAGGAGGAAGGAAGGAGGAAGAGAAAGAAGAGGAAGTCAGAACTGAGAGGAGGAGGTTGGAGTGAAAAGGCTGCTGATGACAAACACCATTTATCCAACAAGCAAGCATTTATTTATTTATTTATTTTGAGACAGAGTCTCGCTCTGTTGCCCAGGCTGGCGTACAGTGGTGTGATCTTGGCTCACTGTAACCTCTGCCTCCTCGGTTCAAGCGATTCTGATGGAATCACAGGCATGCGCCACCATGCCCAGTTGATTTTTTTGTATTTTTAGTAGAGATGGGGTTTCACCATGTTGTCCAGGTTGGTCTCGAACTCCTGACCTCAACCGATCCACCTGCCTTGGCCTCCCCAAATGCTAGGATTACAGGCATGAGCTGCTGCGCCTGGCCCCAACAAGCATTTATTGAGCATCTATTGTATGCCCAGCCCTGTGCTGGTGCTGACGGAACAGATATGACCAAGGCGTGACTTGCCCCAGGAAGAGCTTATCCTTTTCTTCTTATCTGATCTGAACTTCAAAAATGAGTGTGCTGTGGTGGAAGGGCCCCTGCACCAGCCCAGCTCAGAAGACCTGGGCTCATCTCCGCTCAGCCTGGCTCACTGCCATGTTGGACTCCAAAGTTGCTTTGCTTCTTAACCTGAAGGAGAAGGGGCTGAGCGGGAGGGTCTTCCTCTGCCCACCTGCCTTTATTAAGGGCTCAGAGTGGCCACGCCAAAGCCGGTGTTGGTACACCTGAGAATTGTGGGGCCCCACCCCGGGATCCCCAAGCAGGGCTGCCAGGGCACCTGTTTGACATCCCGGGGCTGGTCACTGCTCCCTCTGCACTGGGCCTGTGATTCTGGAAGCCGCCGCCAGGGGGAGGGTGTTGCCGGCATCGCCCGACACTGGGGCGAATCGCTGAGAAAAGCAGAAACGACTCCGACCCGGGCGCCCGCTTGGTCTCCATCGTCCTGCCCTTGAAGCCCAGATGCCCCAATGCCCCAGTCCCCGGCATCCTTCACTGACCGAGGTGTGGGAGCGGGTCGGGGGAGGGGGCTCTGCATCCCTGAACAGAGTTGCACAGAGGTGGGCAGAACACGAACAACAGAGGCGGGTCTCTGCTGCCCCCGCCTCCCCTCCAACCCCTTCCCCCATCTGAGAACCTCATCGAATTGACTGATTCATTCCTGGTGACTTCTGCAGCCGCCACTTCCGTGGCTGCACCTTGAACTTGCATTAAGTTTTAATTAAAGCCGTTTCACCGGCCTTGCCCTTGGCTAAATGCAGCTGTGGGCACAGGGCACATAGATATTTAATACTCTGCCTCTCCCCGCTGATGGCGCAGGGTGCCCAAGGGTGTACCCGAGCCGTGCCCTGCTCGCAGTGATCTGCGAGCTCGCTTAAGTGTGCCCACAGGCCCCGAGCGGGAGGCCGCGCAATAACTATTCATTGCCCTGGGTTAAGTGTGCCCAGGGGCACCCGTAAACTCAATGCAGTGATTAGCGATTACTCCCAGTGAAGGCTGCCCGAGCTCCTGCGGAATGTCCACGGGCCCTAAATATAGCCTCCTCATGGCGACTTAAAGGGCACGGTGCATTTTGGCTGTGCACTTGTCACGTTTTCCCTTCTTCCTTTTTTTAATATCTTTTCGGAGACAGAGTCTCATTCTGGCCAGAGTCGCCCAGGCTGGAGTGAGTGGGACAATCTCAGCTGACTGCAACTTCCGCCTCCTGGGTTCAAGTGAACCTCCTGCCTCAGCCTCCTGAGTAGCTGGGACTACAGGTGTCCGCCACCACTCCTGGCTAATTTCCCTCCTTCCTTCCTTCCTTCCTTCCTTCCTTCCTTCCTTCCTTCCTTCCTTCCTTCCTTCCTTCCTTCCTTTCTTTCTTTTTTTTGTATTTTTAGTGAAGATAGGGTTTCACCATGTTGCCCAGGCTGGTCTCGAACTCCTGAGCTCAGGTGATCCACCTGCCTCAGCCTCCCAAAGTGCTGGGATTCCAGGCATGAACCATTGTGCCTGGCCTTCCTTCCTTTGTTTAGCAGAATTGCTTCCCCCCTTCTTACAGTCTGGCCTCTGGGGGCCTCCGCCTTCCTCCCGGTTCAGCAGGGAGGATGGGCTGGGGCACCATGGTGTAGCTTTGGGTGGTGTCGGGGAATTGCCGCATCCTCTTCATTCTCCTGCCAGACCTTGCGGACGTCTTCTCCATTTCTTCCACTTTGCTCCCCAAGGGAAGACAGCATCCCCTAAAAGCAAGGCCATCACAGGGCTCACCTGAGGGGCTCCCTGTGGGCCGCCTGAGCCTGCTGCCAACATGGGCTCTCTGGGGCCAAGGAACAGCTGAGCTAGGCAACTGGGGAGGCTGCAGGGTGGTGGGGGGCCTCTTCCTGGCCCCACCCACTCCTTTCTGCTTCTGGAAGCCCGTCTGTCCCTGGGGAGAAGAGGTGGGTAGCCTTGAGTTGGGGAGCTGTGAAGATGAATCAGTCCACTCTGGCCCCAGTCTCCCCATTCTGTATTGGGTAGGAGAGGGGATCTGATGATCTGTGAGGGACCCTCTGCTGGTCTGTGACTGTTCAGTGCCACAACCTCCCTGGCCAAGTCTGACGCAAAGGCAAAGGGGCAGCTGGAGAAAGTAGAGAGACTTGAGAGAGCACCTGGGTGGGGTGGCACTGGCTGCAGAGGGGTTTTGGGGAAGATCCCTTGCCCACGCCATCACCTTGGGCCCTGGTCTGTGAAACGGGAGAATGGTGCCACCCTACACAATGGCCGTGAGACTCAGGCGTGGGACGAGAAACCACTGTCTCGGTTTGCCTGTCTCCGTTTTAGCACTGAAAACCCCACATCAGGGGAACCTCCCCAATCCTGGGGAACCGGGATTGTTGGACCCTCTAAGAACGGTGCCATTGGGGGGCACAGGTGTGCTCTCTGGGCCTGTAGAAGCCCTCACTCTCTACTTCTGCTAGTTGGATCCAAAGTGGAAAGAAAAAGGGCGAGGAAGAAATTGGGATCTGGGGAAAAAAATAAGACAAGAGGCCTAGGCAGCAGCCCCCATGGAAGTGGGCTCTGAGCAGCGTTGGTCCCATGCACACCCGTTCTTGGCCTCACCAGCTGCGCCCAGGACCCCAGCTGCCCCCTTGGCCAGGCCCAGGGTGGCAGCTGAGGCAGCGACATTTCCCTGCGTCTGTTGACACTCGAGTCCCAGAACATAAATGATTTTCTTGTCTTAATGAGCAAACAAGCCGGCGGCACCGCTCTCTCACCGGCCTCCTGCTGGGGTAATTGCCGGCGCTGATGGGCACCGGCAGGGATGTTTGCTCACCTTTGCTCACCGCTTGCAGGAGACATTGCTTCCTCTTTGTCTCTGCAGGTCTCCCGGCCCCTGCCCCTGCGCAGCGACGATAGACAGGTAAGTGGGCCCTGTTGGAGTAGCAGGAACAACTCTCGAAGTTTCTGCCAGGCCTGGTGGGTGCTCGGGATGCTCGGACGCAGCTTCTGAGTTTGCTTGTCCTCCGGAGAGTGTAGTGGACGGTACGGACTCTTCAGGGACCAGGTCTTGCCAGCCGAAGTTTGAAGCTCCCGCTGGTGCCCTCCAGGCAGAGGCCTGAGGCCTGAGGCCATCTGAGAAGAACCTGGAAGAGGGGACCCCAGCTTTGGGTGGGAGGCTGGGTCGGAAGACTCTAAGGTCCTTCCCGTGCTAAGATTCTCTCTGCCAAGTCTCCAGTGACAGGGAGCTTGTTCCTTTGTAAGGAGCTTGTTCCACATCGCACAGGTGCTTCCCGAATTTTCCTTCTGCTGGTCCTTGGAATGTTTCCTGCAGCCTCCCGGAAGGAGCCAGTCCCTCTTCTCCATTTCACATCCCTTTGAGTATTTGGGATCAGTGAGCTTGACCTCCCCAGGTCTTCCTGACGTCCCCCTGCCAGTCTTCCTGAGATGGGAGCTGGAGACCCTTCCCTACCCCTCTCCCCGCATCTGGCCCTCACCTTTATTCAAGGCCTTCATTCCCATGTCCCACTAAAGGGTGGCAAACAGAGCCAAGGACAGGACTCCAGTTGTGCCCAGCCAGGGTGGCACAGGGGCTGACTGGTTGGCATTGCTGTTAGGGGTCACTGTGTGTTCGTTCTCTCAGCCGCGTTGTACACCTACTGTGTGCCAAGCACCCCTGCAAGGGACCTCCTCCCCTAAAGTATGAGCATGCTAGTGTCTGGTTGACTCTCCTCCCCGAGTGGCCTGCCGTCCTGCCTCCTGGCCTAGCCATCCTCCCGGTGACCCTGTTACCTTCCTAGGTAACCCCTCAAGTGTCCCTTCTCCATGACTCCTAGTGACCGTGCCTCCCTGGCCACATGGTTTGTGAACGTGTCCTGTTTCTCCAGACTCCATGGCTGCTGTCCCTTCGAGGGGAGCTGGTGGCTTCTCTTGAAGATGCCAGCCTGATGGGACTGTATGTGGACATCAATGCCACCACTGTCACCGTCCAAAGCCCGAGACAAGGACTTCTTCAGAGGTGGGAGGTCAGTGGTGGGCGGCAGGCCCTGCCAGGCAGTGGGGGGCCTCTGGGGCATAGCACCCAGAAGAGCAGGTTGCCACCCCTCCAGTGACAAGTCAAATGTCCACCTGCGAGACCGGACAGATTTAGGCAGGCGCCTTCGAAAATTGGTCCCCATTAGCGTGAAGTGCTCCGCTCTGCAGATGAGGGGCTCCTGCAATCATGCATTCAGCTCGTCCTGATCATGGTGGCAGGAGCGTAATTACCATCTCTTTAAATAGCCCAAAGTTGCCGTGTAAGAGAAGACGGCTCACATGACATTTGCTCTGAGCTCGCTTCCTGCTAAAAATATCTCAGCTAAATAATATTTCCTGGTTGCATCGGCGCAATAGTCCCTGACCTGGGCTTTGTAACACTTGGGGCTTTAGTTCAGAGATTAGTTCGAAGGTGGGAGAGGGGGCCCCTGTGGTGGGAGTTTGCATCTGGAAGGAGCAGTTTTGAAGACCTCAGGGGGGACCTTCCTCCCTCCCCAGGTGCTGAACACCTCTGCTGAGCTCCTGCCACTATGGCTGGTGAGCGGTCACCATGCCTATTCTTTAGAAGCTGCTTGCCCACCGGGTAAGACCCAGGAGTGCCCCTAATGTCCACCTTTCCGACTTCATCACATTCTCGTCTCTGTTTTTTCCCTCCTCTGGGCACCTTAATCCCCTCTGTCTCATCCCACTTCTCCTCTCCTCAGTCCCAACCTTGGCTATGCATTTCTGAAATGCTTGGGACAAAGAGAAGTTTGCTTTTGCTGGAAGATGTGTGGAGTAGAAGTGGGATGTGGGGTGAATGAAAAGTAAAATCATCTACTACAGACCTGCAAACTTGGGGTCTGCAGACTCTTGGGAGCACCCAAGCTGGCCCCAGGGGCTCTGAGAACAGTGACGGGAGAGAGCGTGCAGCCTGGTCAGACCCTCCAGGGCTCCGTGATCTGAGGGCAGTGGGGACCCCTGATCTAGGCCATGTATGTGATAACTGTTTTGTTCAGCCTGGAGTGACACCACTGCCCTGGGTCTTATGTCATATAAAGAGGTCTGGAACCTGGAAGACCACTTCCTACCTCCGGGGAATTTAAATTCAAAGAACTCGGTGTGCAACGTTAGGTGGATCAAAGGCTTCATCCTGTGTGGATAGATTAGAGGTGGCTTAGACTTTCCATTTGTATAGAATTTTATCATGGACTGAGTTTCGGGATCAGGGCTCTGGGGATTTTCAGGCATTGGCGGTGACCGTGATGAGCCCCCGAACATCTCTTTCCCTGTTCACAGTGTTTCCAGTCCCTTTATGTAAAGGCAGATGCTTCCATTAGCAGCTGCAGAGCTGGTTTAAAATGTCCCGCCGAGAGCCTGACACAGTGAAATTCTTGCTAAAGTGTAAACAACTGATAGGAGCTGTATGTCTTTCTTTTTTTGGGGGGGCGGAGTTTTGCTCTCGTTGCCCAGGCGGGAGTGCAGTGGCATGATCTTGGCTCATTGCAACCTCTATCTCCAGGGTTCAAGTGATTCTCCTGCCTCAGCCTCCCAAGTAGCTGGGATTATAGGCTTCCACCAGCACGCCCGGCTCATTTTTTGTGTTTTTAGTAGAGATGGGGTTTCACCACGTAGGCCAGGCTGGTCTTGAAATCCTGACCTCAGGTAATCCACCCACCTTGGCCTCCCAAAGTGCTGGGATTACAGGTGTGAACCACCGTGCCCGGCCTAGGAGCTGTATTACTGAAGAGCTGCTTTGGAAATGGAAGGGGCACTGGGCTAGGTCACCGAAGCCAAAGACGATCTCAGTAGAGCCATTTCTGCAGCTTCCCTGATGGCATCTGCTTCCATCAGGATGCAGATGGGCCTTTTCAGAGTGGCGAGGTCTGTCAGGTGTTTGGGGATGGTCTTTTTTTCTTCTCTTCTTCATCCGTGCAGCTAAGTTTCAGCCCAGGCAGTGATACCGGGACACCAAGTAACTTGCTGTCACTGACTGGGGAAGTGTGCTGTGCTGGCCACAGGTGTGGCCCCGGGCAAAGGCCCACCACCACTTCATTTGTCCACGAGCCTGCAAAGTGTCTTTTTCTGTGTCCTGTGTCCTTCCAATTCCAGTGTCATTCCAGCCAGAGTCGGAGGTCTTCGTTCACATCCCCAAGCAGAGACTGGGTCTAGTCAAAAGAGGTTCCTACATTGAGGAAACCCTGAGCCTCAGATTCCTCCAAGTCCAACAGTCCAACATCTTTATGGTGACTGAGAACAAGGACTTTGTGGTGGTCAGCATCCCGGCGGCCGGGGTGCTCCAGGTCCAGGTGAATATCCGGTGGCATCTCTGTCTTGCCCCTTCTCTTCCTGAGGCCCTTCTCCTTCGGTCACCAATGCCATGTGTGGTCAGAAACGTGAAGGGTAGGCTGGTCACAGTGGCTCATGCCTGTAATCCCAGCACTTTGGGAAGCCGAGGCGGGAGGGTCACTTGAGTCCAGGAGTTCAAAACTGGCCTGGGAAACATAGTGATACCCCGTTGCTACAAAAAAATTTAAAAATGAGGTAGGAGCATTGCTTGAGCTTAGTGAGTTGAGGCTGCAATGAGCTATGATTGTGCCATTGCACTCCTGCCTAGGCAATGGGAGTGAGACCCTGTCTCAAAAAATAAAAGTAAAAAGAAAGAAAGAAACATGGAGGGCAGATCTGTGGTGCTGGCTGAAAGTGGACTTCACCATGTATGCCTCTCAGGCCCATACTCTAACCAAGGTAGCCCCATCAGGGGACAACCATAGGGCATGGGATGCCTCCTGCCACGTGCAACTAATTTCTTTCTTTCTCTCTCTCTCTTTCGATGGAGCCTCGCTCTGTCGCCCAGGCTGGAGTGCAGTGGCGCGATCTTGGCTCACTGTAACCTCCTCCTCCTGGATTCAAGTGATTCTCCTGCTTCAGCCTCCCAAGTAACTGGGGCTACAGGCACCCACCACGACGCCCAGCTAATTTTTTGTATTTTTAGTAGAGACGGGGTTTCACTGTGTTAGCCAGATGGTCTCAATCTCCCGACCTCGTGATCTGCCTGCCTCAGCCTCCCAAAGTGCTAGGATTACAGGCATGAGCCACTGTGCCCAGCCAACGTAAAACTAATTTCTTGTGGCCTCACAGCGATGCCAAGAAGTCGGAGGAACCCCGGGAACACAAGCTTTCCATAGGGTAGACCTGAGTCTGCAATTTGCTGAGATGGCTGCCCCAGTCCTCTGGACGGTGGAGAGCTTCTTCCAGTGTGTGGGTGAGTGAGGCACCATGAGGGTGTGACTGCTGGTAACAGGTATACACTGCACAAACCCTCTTTCCTTGGCCCTGGGGTTCTTTCTTCTGTGACAACGTTTCACTCCCTGGACCGCACAGGTCCCACACCGACAAGGTAAGTGAGGCGTCAGACATACTGGCTGGAACTGGCAGGAGAACAACAGTGTCATGAGAACTGAGTGGTCCTGTGGTTCCTGGCCCTGGAGTCTGCCAGGGAGGGGACAGGGGAGGCAGATGGGGGTGTATCCCTTTCCTAACCAACTGCACAACCTCAGTGAGTTACCTAACCATGTTGAGCCTCAGTTTTCCCATCTGGAAAATAGGCATACCAGTACCTGTTTTGAGGATTGAAACAGCAAGAGGAGCTATTTCCAGTTCCTCGGGTCACTTGGTAGACAGATCAGTGTCCTTGGCAAAGAGCACGACACGATGCAACTTGTTTCTCAGCTCAAGAGGAACCTTCTTTTAAATGTGGTGTATGTCTTTATGCCAGGATGCTGGGATGGGGTTTTTGGAGAAAGCTCTGCTAACGGACAACCTGGTATTCACACATGCAAAACCACCAGGAGCAAAACCCATTGAAATACAGCACAAGGAAATGCACATAATTCACAAATGATGTCGATCACTTTCATCTTTTACTTCCTAACTGTCCTCAATCAAAGACAGACGCGAAGGAGATTTAACTCAGATGTTAATAGTGCAAGTTTGCCCTGTCACGAGGATATGATGTTTTGGTGCTGCACAAAAATGTAATTATGTTCAGAACTATATTTAAAGATTAAAAGGGGGACTGCCTACCACAGCTAGCCCCAAATTCAGAATTAGAAACAAAGAAAAAGGCGGAATGGGGGGTGAGTTCTGACAGTCTGCTAAAAATGGAAATGTTTCTTGAAAATTTTTACACATTTCGCCTGTTTTTATTTTAACGGTTTGTTGCAGTGATGACATTAATCTTGGAAAGGGAGGGCTAGAACTTTATCCAACAGATATTCACTAGGCAGTCACGGTGTATGCGGCCCCATGCAAGGCTTAGGTGGGAACAGAGGCTGCTGGTTCTTGAAAATTTTTACACATTTCGGCTGTTTTTATTTTAACGGTTTGCTGCAGTGATGACATTAATCTTGGAAAGGGAAGGCTAGAACTTTATCCAACAGATATTCACTAAGCAGTCGCGGTGTATGCGGCCCCATGCAAGGCTTAGGTGGGAACAGAGGCTGCTGGATTCGGTTCTTGCTCTCAGGCAGCGTTCAGTCTGGAAGGGGAGATAAGAAATGCCCAGAGAAAGGCCGGACGCAATGGCTCACGCCTGTAATCCCAGCACTTTGGGAGGCAAAGGTGGGAGGATCACTTGAGGCCAGGAGTTTGAGACCAGCCTGGCCAACATGGCAAAACCCTGTCTCTCCTAAAAATACAAAAATTAGCTGGGCATGGTGGTGCACATCTGTAATCTCAGCTACTTGGGAGGCTGAGGCAGGAGAATCGCTTGCACCTGGGAGGTGGAGGCTGCAGTGAGCTGAGATTGTGCCACTGCATTCCAGCCTGGGCAACAGAGCAAGACTCATCTCAAAACAGAAACAAAAACAAACAAACAAAAACAACAAAAAAGAAATGCCCAGAGAATTATGAGGGCAGGTGGACTCAGGAGAGATGTCAGAGAGTAAATGATCTTTATCCTGGGTTTTGATGAGAGGGCAGGTCCTTGATAGGAAGATACGGAATACAGCATAAAAATAGATCAGCAACAGTAATAGAAACATTTTAGGAAGAGTTTTTTTGGCCTCTCTGGAAAGATTTACACGGGGAAAGAATGTTCTCTTCCTCATTTTGTTAATTTAACATCAGCAACTAGAATGAATGTCTCCCCTCCCTGGTTCCCAGCACACCTCCCCTGCACCTCCCCTGCAGCTTCCCTGCAGCTTCGAGGTCTTTCTATTCTTATTATAGTTATTGGTGCACGCTCCTGTCTCTCCCTCTAGTATGAATTCCTTAGATCAGGGGCTGTGCCCTGTTCGGCTTCTTATTCTTGACGGGCCTTATCTTGCCGCCTTGCCCTTGGTAAGCACTTCATAAATGCTTGTTGGCTTGAATTTTCACCAGGAATTTAAAAAAACGTTTTACACAGATAACATTTTTCTTTTGTAAATATGTGACTAATGTGTCACATATTTACAAAATATATGCTGGACTATTAATATATGCTGGAATTGCCTAAACTCCCCGTGGTTAGAGATTTTTAAAAAATCTTCCTTTTCCCTGACCCCAAAAGTAATTAGAACCTATAGGACAAATCCTAATTATTTAAGTGGTCTGGAGAAATCTAGGAGATGGTTTAGATATAGCTGTTTTCATATGTGTGTGTGCGCACATATATATATATATATATATATATATATATGCGCGTGTGTGTGTGTGTGTATATATATATATTTTATAAGAGACAGGGTCTTGTTCTATTGCCTAGGCTGGAGTACAATAGTGCAATCAAAGCTCATTATAACACTGAGCTCCTGGGTTCAAGGGATCCTCCTGTCTCAGCCTCCTGAGTAGCTGGGATTATAGATACAAGACACCATACCAAGCTAGTTTAAAAATTTTTTTTTTTCCCGAGACGGAGTCTCTTGTTGCCCAGGCTGCAGTGCAATGACACAATCTTGGCTCACTGCAACCTCCGCCTCCCAGGTTCAAGTGATTCTCCTGCTTCAGCTTCCGGAGTAGCTGGGATTACAAGTGCCTGCCACCACGCCTGGCTAATGTTTGTATTTTTAGTAGAGACGAGATTTCACCATATTGATCAGGCTGGTCTTGAACTCCTGACCTCAGGTGATCCGGCTGCCTTGGCCTGCCAAACTGCTGGGGTTACAGGCATGAGCCACTGTGCCTGGCCTTAAATATTTTTATAGAGATGGGATCATGCGTGTTACCCAGGCAGTTCTTAAACTCCTGGACTCAAATGATCCTCCTGCCTTGGCCTCCCAAAGTGCTGGGATTACAGGTGTGAACCACTGTGCCCGGCCTATTTTTACATTTTGAAGTTGGGTTCACGGATGGAAATGCCTCTAGGGGTGGGGAAGGGAATGTTAGCGGTGGGAGAGTGGGGAGGATAAGAACACCCAGGGCCTGAGCGTGGAAGGATAAGGCAGCAAAGCTCAGTGTGGGAGGTGACAGGGAGTGGTGGAGACTCCTGGGAACCTGCAGCCACCAGGTCCCTCTAAGCAGAGCAGCCTTGCTTGGCTGGAGCTGACCGTATCTTGCAGGGAAGCAGGTCCGTGTAGCCAAATCTGGTTTTCCACGAGAACCTGGTTATATAAGAACTCCTGCTTTTAAAATGTTGTTGGTTAATTTAAAAAACAGTTCAAACACCCTGCAGGCTGAGTCAAACATGTCCAAGAGCTGTATTTAACCCCTGGGCCAGAATTTGCAAGTGCGAACCCAGTAGTTCTCAACTGCAGGCGATTTTTGCCTCTCAGGAGACACTTAGCAACATCTGGAGACATTTTTGTTTGTCGTGACTCGGGGGATCCTACCGGCATCTGGTGGGTGGAGGCCAGGGGGCCTGCTAAACACCCTGCACTGTACCTCCTCTCCTGCACTTGACAAAGCGTGATCGGCCTGGAATGCCTACGCTGCCTGGGCTGAGTCTAACCTGAAGGGTGATCGGGCAGGGAGCACTCTCCCGTTCTCTGTGGTTTCTGAGGTTGGGCCAATGTATTTGACCTCGAAATAGGAAATGGCTCAAAGATGAAACCAGCTGGTGGCACTGAAGCTACGATAGGGAGTCAGGACCAGGTACCCCTTGCAGAAATCTGAATTTCTGTGATTTAAGTTAAAAAAATGGGCCGGGCGTGGTGGCTTACTCCTGTAATCCCAGCACTTTAACAGGCCAAGGCGGGCGAATCATTTGAGGTCAGGAGTTTGAGACCAGCCTGGCTAACACGGTGAAACCCCATCTCTACTAAAAATACAAAAAAAATTAGTTGGACGTGGTGGTGCACACCTGTAATCCCAGCTACTCGGGAGGCTGAGGCAAGAGAATCACTTGAACCCAGGAGGTGGAGGTTGCAGTGAGCCGGGACTGCACCACTGCACTCCAGCCTGGGCCACAGAGTGAGACTCCAAATCAAAAAAAAAAAAAAAAAAAAAAAGGTATCTTGATGTCCACATAGTCTCAAAAAGGACTCCAGGTGGGAGGACTGTGAAATTCAGCAAATGGACATTTGCCAACCCAGGGCTTGCATCTGACCTCCCCAAGCTTCCATTCCCCACCTGTGGAAAAGGGTCCCTCACGGTCCCTTCAGCAGGGCGTGGGGAGGATTTTGCTTCCTTAGGAGGAAGGCTGACCTCTGTCTTCCCTCTGGAAGGTTCAGGAACAGAGTCGCCTGCCTCAACTGCTACACAGAGGGCCACTCCCTCCCCGCCATCCCCAGGACCAGAGACCCCTCCAGCAAGCATGCCATCTGCCGCTTCCTCCCAGGTGTGGGCTGCAGGACCAGCTGCCCAGGAATGGCTTTCTTGGGACCTCCCTCACCAGCCTTCTGATGCGCTGGCCAAGGCAAGTCTATGGCTACATCCTCTGCCCACGGTTTCCTCCAAAAAGTCGGGTCCCCATGAGGTATCGGTAGACCCAGCTGGGCCTGAGGCCCTTCTCTCTCACCACCGTTCTTCCAAAGAGAGCCCCACTGTGATCCCCAACCGTGTCACCTCCTCAAATTCAGAATATTTCCCAGAGAAAGCTGGGCCCCCAAGAGCTCCCACCTAAGGGCAGCCCCCTTCATCTGTCAGCCTGGATCACAGCAACCTCCCAGTGCCCTGAGACACAGCCGAAGGAGGCAGCGGGGGTGTCAGCAGCTATGCACACAAATGGAGGGAGGGAAACTGAGGCACACCAGAGGACTGGAGACCCAGAGGTCACAGCTTCCTCCAGCTCTTCTTTTTTTTTGAGATGGAGTCTCGCTCTGTCATCCAGGCTGGAGTGCAGTGGCACCATCTTGGCTTACTGCAGCCTTCACCTCCCAGATTCAGGCGATCCTCCTGCCTCAGCTTCCTGAGTAGCTGGGATTACAGGCGCGCGCCACCACGCGTGGCTAATTTTGTATTTTTAGTAGAGATGGGGTTTTACCATATTGGCCAGGCTGGTCTGGAACTCCTGGCCTCAAGTGATCCACCTGCGTTGGCCTTCTATTGTGTTGGGATTATAGATGTGAGCCACCGCACCTGGTTCCTCGAACCCATCTTTGGGCTGAGATTCTCAGGGCAGCCGGAGCCCATGTGTTCTTGTTTCTGATGCTTTTTCTCTCTCCACTTCTCTCTTGATGAAGAAGGGGCTTGGACCGTTGCTGCAAACAGCCAAACCGGCGAGGAGAAGCCAGACATCTGCCTCCATTTTCCCTAGAGTGATGCAAGCTCAGCAAGGTCTCCAGGCTCCCCCAGGGGAAGTGGGGTTCCCTGGACACCCCATGCCTCCAGTCACGCTCCCCTCGGAGCCTGTAGAGGGTGTCCAGGCTAGTCCCTGGCGGCCACGTCCAGTCTTGCCAGTGCACCCGACTCTGACCCTGCCTGTGTCCTCAGACGCCTCCTCTCCTCCACCGCCAGCCCTGAGGCCTGAACAGTCTGAATCGCTCCTGGTCTTGGGACCATCTGTCACCCTGACTGAAGGTCTAGGAACTGTGAGGCCTGAGCAGGACCCCGCCCAGTCTCCAGGAAGTCCCCTCCTGCTGAGAGGGCTGTCAAGGGGGGATATGGCTGCACCTGAGCCCATCTTGGGGGAGCCTGGGCAAGCCAGCGAGGAGCTCCAGCCACTGACAAGGCCCTGGCGGGCCAGGCTGGCGGCAGAGGCACTGGTTTCTCACCATTCTCCCCGAGAGTCCCAGGACACATCCTCTGGAATGGAGGTGGAGAGGCAGAGCCAGACTGGGCCTGGTTTCCCCAGGGAGGGGGCCAGGGGACTCGTGGACTTTTCATCCTCAGAGCCAAGTGAGGACATGGAGGGGCCGGGACTCTCCACCCTGCTGGGGAGGGATGCCACATTCTCCACCCCAAGCGTGAGGCAGCCAGACCCCAGTGCCTGTGCCGGGGCCTCAGGACCCGAACTCACCGGGACGCCCAGGGTGAGGCCGGCAGCGCCCTTGGCGGTTCTTCCTGTGGAACCTCTGCCAGCAGAACTGATTCGCCCGGCAGCTTTTCTGACACCCAAAACCTCATCTGTAGGAGGGGCAGACCAGGCCCTATACCTGGAGTGTACCCCTGGCTTTGTGGGCCAGGAGGAATCAGGGGCTGCACATGCATCCAGTCCTCTGTCCACGCAAACCCTGAGCCCGTGGGCTCCCACAGGAGGGTCGCTACTCAGCCTGGTGGAGATTGAACACCCCTTCCCGGCTGGCCGGGGGGCCTCACCCCAGCAGGAGCTGACAGGGCCCACCTTGGCCCCCAGTGCTGAAAGCCACAGGCCTCCTGAGCTTCAGGACAGTGTGGAGGGGCTTCCTGAGAGGCCCCACGCTGAGTCTCCATGGTGACTCCACGGTGAGTCCTGGGTGCACCCTGGGGAGGTGGAGTGCAAAGGGCGGGAGGTAGCGATGGGTCAGCCTGGAGGTGGGGGCTGGGGGTTGTCTCTCCAGGGAAGCCCCAGTGCTCTTCCGGCCCAGATCATCGCTGTGCTCAGCCACAGCTGGGCATCTAGGCCAGGGAGTCCAGGGGCACTGGGTCACTGAGAGTCACCAGGGCCATCCAAGCCAGCAAGGTACCAGCTGCTGCCATGGAACCCAGAGGAAGTGGTGAAGTGGCAGGCCATCTGCCTGCGTGGACCTCCCCGAGGGAAGAGGCGCTGAGTGCAGGGCAGTGTCCCCCCATCTCTCCCTGGCCCTGCCAGCTGCATTTCTGGGCTTGCTCTGCTGTCAGAGGTGGGGAAGCATCAGGGTAAGGCGCAGCCTCTGCAGCCAGGCCTGCCAGGAGCTAGGGTTCAAGTCCCAGTTCCTCTGTCCTTTGGCTGTGTGACCTTGGCAAGGCACTCACCTCTCTGAGCCTCAGTTTCCTGATGGGTCAAATGGGGATGGTAATAGTTCCTTCCGATGCGGCCGCTGAGGGTTGGGTGGGAAAGGAACACAGAGCATTTGGCGTGGAGCCGGACGACACCCAGTGCGCTCAGAACTCAAGAGCCGTTCTTGAGGCAATCTTACACCATCACCATCCACCTCACAGAGCATGACACCCAGCACGCCCAGAGCTCGAGAGCCGTTCTTATGGTGATCATTTCACCATCTACCTCCCAGCGCAGGCAGAGGGGATGCTTGCAGGCCCAGGAAAGCATGGCGGGCCTGAGCCATGGTTCAGACATCTCTGGGGGTGGCTGGTGATGGTGATACGAACCCTTGGTGTTTACCCCCTCCCCAGGCCTTGGGGTGCCATGACCCCAGGTCTCTAAAGGACTCCAGGGGAGGATAATGGGATGTCACTGCTTTGTTTTCATTACTCATCACTCTTTTCCTCTGGATTCCAGGGCAGCAGCTGGTACCCTGCTGGCTAGGACGGTCCCGGTGACCCTCAGTGACCCAGTTGCCCCCAGGCTCCCTGGCTTCGATGCCCATCTGTGGCTGGGGACAGTGTTCTGGCCGGAAGAGCACTCACTCGGTGCTTCCCTGGGAGGGTGGCCCCCCAGACGCCCACCTCCAGGCCGACCCATCACTGGAAGTGGGATTTGAAATGCAGCCAAGAAGAGGAGACCGTCGGCAACGCCCGCCCGGAACAAGAAATAAATAAATAAGTAATCAGGGTTGTCTTGGCTGATAAACGGTCCCCACCTCGAAGAAGACTTCTCCCCCCTCTGCGCACCCTCCTCCTCCCTCTCCGGGCAGATCCGTCCCAGGCAAAAGCTTAATAGCCCCATTTAAGGCTTTTCCTTTTCACCACGAGATTGAGCTGCTCCTGCCATTACGAGGTTTTCAGCTTCTCTCTGAAATCAAATTACTGACTCCATTTAATTTTTTAAAAGCTCAGATGATTTCCCTTCTCGAATCGGAGCCGTGACTTCAAGGCCAGCCCCCACCAGCCCTACCAGGCGATTCCCCTGCGGGCAGCCGCTGCCCTGGGATGGCGGCCCCCATGCCTGGGGAAGCCTGACACCTAGAGGGAAAGCCAGTGGGAGGAGGCCTGAGTCTCTGGCCACCACCCTGGACCCTGGGCTGGGTGGCCTGAGCTGGAGGAGGCCCACAGGAGCCCATGGCTGGAGGCCGATGATCTCCAAAGGCTGGTGGGGTCAGTGGTTAGAGCCCAGCACCGATGCCATAGGCTCATGCGGGAGGGCCCTAGCCTCCCAGTCGCCTTCTCACAGTGTGTGTCTGGGACTCTACCACTCCACAAAGGTTTATGGAGCGCCTCCTCGGTGGTGCCAGGCACTGTTCCGGCCCCGGGGAGGCTCCAGTGAATTGAATGAAATCCCCGGTGTGGGAAGGAAAGTTCTAGAGTGCGCGTGAGAGGGGGTTTGGACAACAATAATAGACACAAAACAATTTCAGACAATGCTTTCTGCTCTGAAGAGGAGCAAACAGGCAACTCGGGTTTCCAGCTGCTTTGGGTGGGAAGGTCGGGCGACCCCTCTGAGGAGATAAGGAGGCAACCGCAGAAAGAGCTGGGGGTGGCGTCCAGGCAGAGGGACAGAAGAGCAAGGGCCCTGAGGCCGGCTGGAAGGACAGAGAGAAGACCATGGAAGCTGGTGGTATGAGCAGAAGAGTGCAGGGGGGATGGGCCTCCAGGGTTTGCAGACGCCGTCAGGAGCCCGGATTTTATTTTGGCCTTCATGGGCTGTCCAACAGGGGCCTTTGGTCCAACAGGGGCCTTTGAGCAAAGCAGTAGCCTTGAGTAGATGCTTGAGAAGGCTGGCTGGAGAGTGGGCGTCAGAGGGGCAGAGCAGCAGCCCCACTGAAAGGAAAGGTGACACAAAGGATCTCCTCTTTGAGGGCTTGTGCCACTCCCACACCTGCGTCCAGATGACGCAGGGGAAGTGGCTGCCTGGTGACATTGGAGACATGACGCATCTTATTGTTATTATTATTAATTTACTTATTTTCGAGACAGAGTCTCTCCCTGTCGCCCAGGCTGGAGTGCAGTACCTTGATCTCAGCTCACTGCAACCTCTGCCTCCCAGGTTCAATTGATTCTCCTGCCTCCTGCGTAGCTGGGACTACAGGCTCACACCACCACACCTGGCTAATTCTTGTATTTTCAGTACGGATGGGGCTTCACTATGTTGGCCAGGCTGGTCTCAAACTCCTGACCTTGTGATCCGCCCACCTCGCATCTTTTATCTCAACACTGGCCGTGGTGTGTTTCCCAGGAAACAGTCTCTGTCTCTCTTTGCCTCCTCCCCTCCACCTCCATCCACCTCCATCCACCCCAGCCCCTTCTCTATCCCTGTAGAGCCCCCCGGCTTTGGGACAGGGTAGAGCAGGGGCACCCATGTGCGAGAAAGTCCTATAAACCAGGGCTAACCCTTTACCAAGTCCTCCTGTGTTTAACAACCACCTTGTGCCCTTGGAGACAAGACAGAGGGAAGGGAGTTAATGAAATCACCAGCCTTTACCTGGCATAAATGGCTCTTCACCCCCCAGGCGGGCGGCGATTTGCAAGGCTGAGAGGGTCTGGGCATTAACTGTTCTGGGCACTCTTCCCAGCTCAGCGCTCTGTGCAGCTGGAACAAACCACTTTACTTCTCTTCCTTCCCCCAGCTTCGCTCTGCACCCGCTCAAAAGCGGGCAGTCGTGCTTAATTAGAAAGTGCTTGGGGTTCTCGGGAAGGTTCCCATTCTCCCTCCAGATGGGACAACCCCATTTCTGTGACCAGGGCAGACCTGGCTGGCACCCATGCCTGATCCTGGGACACGCACGGGTGTTGCCTCTGCCGGTTTTCCCGTTGAGACCTCCCAGGTCTTGCAGTCATTTGTTTATGGCTGACACGTCTGTGATCAGTGAAATTCTGGCAGGGAGCAGCTCTTTCCCTCGGGGTCAGCAGCTGCCGGGAGATCTTTGACAGCCTGGGCTGTTCCAGGTGCTTAGACATCACTCGGTGGTTCCCCGCCCTTAGCGGCTTGGATTCTCATCTTTTATCCACCCCCCACGACTCTGCATGAGGTCCAAAGTCTATGCTGCATTTGTTGTCCTTTTCTCCTGCTACACGGAGCAGCTGGAGCTGGTCCAATTTCTCTTTTGGGCTTTCCTTCTTGAGCACAAAGCCTTTCCACGCCCTTCAGCATCCAGGCTCATTGTTTTTCCCTGGTTGAAGGTCCTGAATTCCTAGTTTTTTTGTTTGTTTTTTAGAAGGAATCTCACTCTGCTGCCCAGGCTGGAGTGCCATGGCGCAATCTCGGCTCACTGCAATCCACTTCTTGGGTTCAAGCGATTCTCCTGCCGCAGCCTCCTGAGTAGGTGGGACTACAGGCGCACATCACCACACTTGGCTAACTTTTGTATTGTTAATACAGATGGGTTTTCGCCATGTTGGCCAGGCTGGTCTTGAACTCCTGATCTCAGGTGATCCGCCCACCTCAGCCTCCTAAGATGTTGGGATTCCAGGCATGAGCCACCTCGCCTGGCCGCCAAATGTTCAATGCTTCCCTCAGCAGACTTTACATCACAACATACTCTTGAGTATTTGTTTTTGTTTTTGAGGTAAGATCCTGCTCTGTTGCCCAGGCTGGAGTGCAGTGGTGCAATCATAGCTCACTGCAGCCTCGACCTTCTGGGCTCATGTGATTTTCCCACCTCAGCCTCCCTAGTAGCTGGGAGTACAGGCATGCTCCACCACACCTGGCTAGCTTTAAAAAATTTTTTTTGGTAGACACGAGGTCTTGCTCTGCTGCCCAAGCTGGTCTCCAGCTCCTGGGCTCCTCCCACCTCAGCCTCCTAATGCGCTAGAAGGCGTGAACTACTGTGTCCAGCCCTTCGGTTGGGTGTTTGAACATTACTTAAGCTGGAACTGTAGTTTCTATTTAGTAATCCTCCCAATTACTGTGTAACCAGAGAGGCAGTGTGGTTGGGAAATGTCTTCTGGAGGTCTGGAAACCAGATCTGTTCCCCCAAGTCATTTGGCCTTGAGCTAGTCAGTTCACCTTCTGAGCCTCAGTTTTGCTGTTGGGCTGTTTGGAAACCAGAGTGAATGGCCCAGCAACCTCTGATCCAGGAGGACACCTGGGCCATCCCATGCAGATAGGACGTTCAGAGTCTCTCATGCAGCCAGGGGAGAACCTCTTTCTTCTGAGGGTCCATTATCTCCAGCCTAGCCCAGCCCCGGCCCACAGCCCAACACCTCTGCTGCTCACAGGTCTGGTGTCTGGGGCTGGGGGCTGCCAGAGACATTAAGCCAAACCAGGTGGGAGGACAAGATGGGACGATATGGACAGAAGTTCATTCCCATGCAGGCAGCCAGAGCCCACCTGTCACCTGCTCCACAGATGACCTCCCACCTGCTCCCAGTTCCTTTCCCAACAATCAGGCTGAGCTGTTCCACATCTCAGATCGAAAAGCCCTCAGAACAGTGGTTCTCAAAGTAGCATCCCCGGAACAGCAGTCCTTCCCACCCCCACACCCCGATCTCATGCTTGTTAGAGAAATGCAAATTATCAGGCCCCACTCCAGACCTACAGAGCCGGAATTCAGGGGTGGGGCTCGGCAGGCTGCGGGACTGAAGTCATCCAGGGGGTTCTGATGCCCCACTGTGTAAGCTCAGAAGTGCTGCATGAGAGAATCTGCGAGGGATACTCCCTAAATTAGAGAATGTCACAGCCTCCATAACAATCCAACACTTGACTCTCATACACCGCCCAAGTACTTGCCACCTCCATCTGTTCATTGTGCCCAGCAGCATCCATTCCAGGGAGAAAATAATTGTTTTTCCCATTTTACAGAGGAAGAAACTGAGGCTCAGGGCCCGCCCAAGGTCATAACTAGCGGATGGTGGCACGAGGGCCAAAACCCCGGCCTCCTCATTCCAGCGGGAGGGCTCTCTCTTGGACACTGGGTTTCCGCGGCTTCTTAGACCGCATGTTCCCCCGCCAGAGAGCCATCCCCGCTTCCAGCCCTCTCCCGGTTCCCAGTTGCAATCTTAGGCACGAACATCCAGGAAACATAAATTTCGCCTGGCAGTTGAGTAAGAGCTCTGAAAGGAGTTACACGTCAGGGGGATGGGACTTTATTTCTCAATGAAATAGCCTTTTTATGGTTGGAATAAAAGTGCCAGGGGGAGCCTCATGCCAGGAAGTAGCAAGTTATTTGATAAACTCCTCCAGCCAGGGGTGGGGCTGCGTGGGAGGTGGCGGCCAGAGAGAAGCTCCCCCCATTTCCAGATACATGTTTCTCTTCAGGTTAGCACTGTGGAAGACCCCAGGGGGCCCCGTGGGCCACCCAGCTGGAGAAGGGCTGGCCCTGGGACCATGCCAATGCCTTCGCTCCGACACCAGGTCCTGGGAGCAGAGCTGCAGTTCAGAGAGTGAGCAGCAGGGGGCAGCATAACCCACCGTTCCAGCCCGTCCGGCGGGCGCTGCCGGGGCTGCGAAACCAGGGTCCCTGAGGCTCAGCCCTCGGAGGAGGTCAGAAGTAGCCCCCACCCTGGGGCCTCTTCCTCCTCCCTTCAGCCCTTCCAACCCCTTGTCCCTTCATGGCAAGGACAGTTTGTCATCCTTACCCTGGTGGCAGCCTCTGCCCGGATCCACATGATCATGGGGGTGGGAGTAAGTAGGAGGGGGCTTCTCCATCCCCTTGCCCAGCCCGTGGCTGCTTTCTC